CGATGTGTGCCAATGATTGGTCCAGTGGCTAAATTAACCCCACAGCACTGGAAGAGTACTGCTGCTTGAGCATGGGGGGAGGGGGTAGAGAACTTGGATTTCAAATAAAACAGCAGCCTTCAGCAGCACAAGGGACACTTCACATTGAATATAAGGATGTTCCTTGTGTGGATTAAAAACAACTGTAAACTTAAGTTGTAGGAACTTCGGACTCTTGGACATTCATTTAGCCCTTCCATTGGACTGTACATACTTGTACGATGTAAGTGATTCAGATACTACTGTAGCCAGAAACAGCCGACAACTTGCATTTTTCGGACAGCAATAACAGCTTCTGTGGTCCTTTCACTACAGGTTTCAATCAAAGTGTCAGTGCACAAAAAATGGTATTTGTTTGTATGGGTGCTTATAACCCATAACTAGTCAGTGGACTGAGCCTCTAAGCCACTGTTTCTCAACCAAGGTTGGAGGAATCCTAGGGTTCCTCCAGTGGTTGTTAGGGGTTCCTTGAGCAATGAGCAGTTTCTGCCTCTCAGAGAAGTTCTCACTGACACCATTGATCTTTTTAGCAATCTGTAAGGGGAGAATTCTTCTCAATGACCACAAGTGTAAGGAGCATTCTTCCCACCGATCGTCACACTAAGGTATCATGAGTTGTAGATATAGTCATTTTTAGTAGGGGTTCTCCAAGACCGGAAAGTTGTTTCAAGGGTTCCTCTGTGTTGAAAAGGATGAGAAAGTATGCTCTACATTACAAGAATTTGAATCTTGGTTACTAGAATACTAAACGCAAGGTGCGTCTATGCACCAGTTATACCTGGATAAACTAATGGGCTGACTTGGAAAATAGTTATTTTCTTCTGTCATTTATAATGCATTACCTAAATCTTCATAAACAAAGTTACTCATTAGATGACAAGCATCCCTTTGCACTCACACATCTCGCCATGCCATCCCCCACACTACGCAATCATCGCCGTTATCCCTTTGCTGAGATGTCAGACAAGAGCCAGCACGCTGTGATGACACAATACATTAGAAGAAAGGTTTTACTTGAACAGCCCGAGGCGACTCCACCTCTGTGTAAGGAACGTGCCAGTACTGACAAACCTCAATGACCCAGAGAACAATGGGGCAGCTGAACCCACACTCCATAGGGGCACCCACCTTGTAAGTGTTGGGTTCTGGACAAGTGCCTTTTGCACTGGAATGTTTACCTTTCCTGCTGTGATCCTTCTGATTTGTGCTCATCCCATGTTTTTCTATTATTCTTTGTGCACACATTACACAGTTAGACCCATGAACTAATTACTTTAATTACTAGATTCAAAAGTGAATCATAACCACCTTCTCTTGAACTCACAGCATACCTTGAACTTGGGCTGATGTGGCCAAATGAAAAGAAATTGCCAACATACTCTTGATACCAATAAAAAGTCCTTTAATGTGTATCTAAATGTGTATCTAAACTTCAAAAAAGCAAAAATGCTATTAAAGTGGTTGTAAACCCACACATACTGTATACCCAGTGAAGACAGGATCAAACAGCCTTTTTACACAATGCAGAAGATTAACCCCTTAGGTTCCACAGTGAGTATAACAAGCATGCTTTGCTGCATATACAGACTGATTTTACTGTTGTGGGTTTAGTAACACTTTAGTTCCTCCACTGTATCTATGGAGGGAACCATGATTGACATACAAGCTGGACTTCAAACATGTCTACTTTTGTTCATCTCCATTACATGGTAGATTGATGTGAACAATAGTTTACATAAGAAGTAGAAGGATGCTTATACTTTCCTTTCAGCTCACAGGAAGTGACAGGGACATTTCGGGCAAGATCAATGTGTATTTTCTGTACTTGCTGAAAATGCTCTCAGCGAAAAAGAAAAATGCAGCCACCATATGTAAGGACTGGTAAACTGAAATATATGACATGCATTTGGGTTTAGAAATGCTTTAAAAGAGAACTAAACCCTTTTATCCTTTTTCAGCCAAAGAAGATGCCATCTTAGCCTCTGTTTGATTTTCAGCTTTCATGGTACCGCACACATGTGATCAGTTATGACACCAGCCATTTGCTGGTTTAACAGTTTGGTTGAGAGCATAAGCAAATGTGACGCGTTAAATCAATGCGTTTAGTTCCGCTTTAACTCTTCATTCACAAAAATGCATTGCAGTAATGCTCTGTAATGCTGGCCATACCCTGTAGAGATTTTCGTTTGACCTATTGGCTGAATCAATAAAGCCAATTGACTCTTCCATCCAAGCTAAACAGCATGGATGGACAAATCTCTCGCTGCGCCTGTTTATTCTGACAGTCGGCACCTGCAGCTGTCAAAATACCTGAACAGTGACATGCATCTGATCCGATACCTAAAGAGTGCATCTGATTAGATGCAGCTGCTGTTTGGCCATATATGTGTAAAGCGCTGCGTAAATTGACAGCACCTGTAACAATAAATAATAATAAAATCTTCTGTCCAGTTCCTTTTATTTTTCAATTAACCACTTCCCGACCGGCCATTGCATATAAACGGCCGGACGGTGGCAGTGCAGGGTCAGGTGGCCATTTATAAACGGCCTCCCCGCACCCTGCTTGTGCTCGCTCCCTGGGAGCACGCAGCACCGCGATCTTGTGCCCGCTGTGTCCTCTGGACACAGTGCAACACTGATCGTCAGACGGGACCTCTGTACGAGGTCCCAATCATGTGATCACTGATTGGCCAATCAGTGATCACATGCAAAGTAGTAAGCAAGATGTCACTTGTGACATCATTGCTTACTACATGTGAAATCTGTTAATGATCACAGAGATCACATGGTACAAGGCTATTCACAACAGCCTTGTACCATGTGACAAGTTGTGACCAATCACAGCTCACTCAGTACTTCTCAATGAGAGACAGAGAGAAAGAGAAATTATTGCTTTTACATCCTATATGGGTGTAAAAGCAATCAGTGTAAAAAAAAAAAATGTTTAAAAATGGTGACACTGTACTGCTAGGGTGACAGTACATAAAAAAAAAAAGAATATAAAAAAATAAAATAAAAAATGTTTAAAAATGATAATTTTTGGTTATAAACTAATTTGGATTTTTTTTTTTACTAAAAAGATAACGGAATAAATTTTGGCCATGATTTATGATGGAATATTATTTATTTGCAAAATTTTATTAAAAAAAACACTTTTTTCAAAATTTTTGGACATTTTCATTTACATAGCAAAAAAAATTAAAATCCCAGCGGTGAATAAATACCACCAAAATAAAGCTTTATCTGTCTCAAAAAAATGGTAAAAAATTAATTTGGGTACAGTGTTTCATGACCGCGCAATTGTCATTCAAAGTGTGATAGCGCTGAAAATTGCCCTGGTCAGGAAGGGGGTAAAAGTGTTTGGTCTGGAAGTGGTTAAAGGATGTCTATTGGGGGGGGGGGGGGAATAAACATAGTGTATGTTGGCTGGTTCCTGATAATGCATAGTGTGTGAGCAATGTATAAAACACATACGTTGCAGCGCAGTGCGGTATAGTGTGAATGAGTCCTATAGTATGTGTATAGCTAAAACTTTTTTTAGTTTTCATTGCTACCTGTGCCCCTTTACAATTCATTCACTTGCTCTTTGGTTGCCGACATTTGAAAGTAATTTTGAAAGATGCATTGAAGGCCTCAAGAAGAAAAAAATGGCATGTAAAGCCTCTGCATTCCAGCAAACAAAGAGTCTCTTTAAGGGGAATTAAAATTTTAGGTCAATTCTATTGTATTTTGTTTAAATTTTATATGTTTTTAAAGTGGTAAGTAAACACTTAATATAGTTTCACGGATCATTATGTGTTTTTTTTCTTTCAAGAGAGAGCATAGCAGAGACTGTTTCCCTTAAGACTTTCTCCTAAACCTCATGAAATTGAATAGAGCAGAGGGTAAGAGAGCACATTCAGCTACCTGTGAATTTTATCTTGAGCTATTGATCTCTGTAAACAACAGTTTAATCAAAACAGCTAATTGACACGAAAACACATGAAAAGTAGGCTAGAGCTCCACCAGCTGGTTGGAAATAAAAATACTATATATTCCAAAATACTTTGAATTGTTTGACACTAACTTTTAAATCAATGGATTGGAGGCAGAGGAAAACAAAAGTGAATGATATTTACAACTTGAATTGATTTCCTTCTCAATTACCTATACCAGGGGTCTGCAACCTTTAAGACATAAAGAGCCACTTGGACCCGTTTCCGAGAGGGAAAAAAAGACTGGGAGCCGCAAAACCATTGAAACATTTAAAAACAAATCCGACACTGCATATATTGCAAAAAGCGCTCTGGTCATGAAGTGGGTTTAAGGGCCCAGTAAGCAAAGGGTTAATCAGGGCCACAGTGTATCGTCATAATCACAATCATAGCCTTAGGTCAGTGGTGGGCAACCTTTTTTTTTTCAACTGAGCCAAATCTCGCCAAAACCACGATTGAAATTTATTTTGAGAGAAACATTTTTAAAACTGAAAATACATCCCCCATATAGTAATTTCATCCCCCATAGTATCCCCCATAGTAATTCATCCCCCATATAGTAATTCATCCCCCATAGTAATTCATCCCCCATATAGTAATTCATCCCCCATAGTAATTCATCCCCCATATAGTAATTCATCCCCCATAGTAATTAATCCCCCATATAGTAATTCATCCCCCATAGTAATTCATCCCCATATAGTAATTCATCCCCCCATATAGTAATTCATCCCCCATAGTAATTCATCCCCCATATAGTAATTCATCCCCCATATAGTAATTCACCCCCCATAGTAATTCATCCCCCATAGTAATTCATCCCCCATATAGTAATTCATCCCCCATAGTAATTCATCCCCCATATAGTAATTCATCCCCCATAGTAATTCATCCCCCATAGTAATTCATCCCCCATATAGTAATTCATCCCCCCTATAGTAGTTCATTCCCCATATTGTGTCAATTCACTTACCTTTGCTCCGCGCGTTCCTCTCGCCGTGTTCCCGCGCCGTTCTGGTCTTCAGGGCGGACTGTGAGAGGAGAGGAGTTCGTCACGCTGCCCCGCCTACATCCTGACAGCCAATGTTTGCCAGCGGGCACCCGGCACACAGAAGAGCTGCATTAAAAGAGCCGCGGCTTGCCGACCACTGAGCTACGGCAACCCTATTGCCTGTCACCTGGTGGGCAGTGTGCTCCGGAGCCGCAGGAAAGGTGAAAAAGAGCCGCATGCGGCTCCGGAGCCGCGGGTTGCCGACACCCGACCTATACTGTCCTCCTCTAAACGGAGTGCCCTATAAAGAGGAGGTAATTTAATTGTGCCTTACAGCTAGAAGATTACAGTAGCAAACATTATTTGGCATAATGGCTCCTATGCAAACATACATGAGTGCAGTCTACATTTATTGGTATTCAGCACTGTGTGCACTGTAAACAGTGACATTACCGTCCTTTCAGATGCACATAAGTTAGATCAGTAAATATTCAATATGTGGTAAAGCATTTACACTATATTGACGAAAGTATTGGGCCGCCTGCCTTTCCACGTACATGACCTTTAATGGCATCCCAGTCTTAGTCCGTAGGCTTCAATATTGAGTTGGCCCACCCTTTGCAGCTATAACAGCTTCAACTCTTCTGGGAAGGCTGTCCTCAAGGTTTAGGAGTGTGTCTATGGGAATATTTGACCATTCTTCCAGAAGTGCATTTGTGAGGTCAGGCACTGATGTCAGACGAGAAGGCCTGGATCGCAGTCTCTGCCTTCCCAAAGGTGTTTTATCGGGTTGAGGTCAGGATTCTGTGCAGGACAGTCAAGTTCCTTCACCCCAAACTCGCTCATCCATGTCTTTATGGACCTTGCTTTGTGCACTGGTACGCAGTCATGTTGGAACGGGAAGGGGCCATCCCCAAACTGTTCCCACAAAGTTGAGAGCATTAAATTGTCCAAATTGTCTTGGTATGCCGAGCCCAAGCCGTTAAAAAAAAAAACCCACACCATAATACCCCATTCACAAAACTTTACAATTAGCACAATGCAGTCAGGCAAGTACCGTTCTCCTGGCAAACCCAGACATGTCCATCAGATTGCCAGACAGAGAAGCATGATTCATCACTCCAGAGAACGCTCTGCATTGCACTTGGTGATGTAAGGCTTGGATGCAGTTGCTCAGTCATGGAATCCTATTTTATGATGCTCTCTACGCACTGTTGTGGCGCTAATCTGAAGGTCAAACGTAGTTTGGAGGTCTTTAGCTATTGACTCTGCAGACAGTTTAGTAGCCGGAAATGTCACGGATGGACTTATTGCACAGGTGGCAATCTATCATGGTAATACGCTTGATTTCAATGAGCTCCTGAGAGCGATCCATTCTTTCACAAATGTTTGTAGAAGCAGTCTGCATGCCTAGGGGCTTGATTTTATACACCTGAGGTCATGGAGGTGATTGGAACACCTGAAACCAATGATTTGGAGGGGTGTCCCAATACTTTTGGCAATATAGTGTATAAAGCCAAAAACATATTTTAGCTTACCAGACTTTAGATGTGGTGGCTGCATTGGTTTTTATTTTTTAAGCTTTTTTGCTTTATTTTTATCTGATGATGCTGCAAGTAATACACTTCCTGTCCTAGGGTGACAAGGCTCACTGTACTTTATCCTTAGTGCGGGACTACAGAACACCTCCATCTCACCTTTTCTCGTTAGAGGAATGGAGGGATTCTGTAACATGCAGAGAGAACTGGGAACAAAGCAGCACAGGCAGAGAGCACAGAAATGTATCAGTTCACAAGAGTTCTGTCGGGATCATCTTTTTTGTGCACTTATTGGACAGATTTAACATGCTTTGAGGGTATATAGAACAGGCTGAAAGTGACCAACTAAGAGAACTTCATTATTAGTGTTTACTTACTATTTAACCGTTTCCCGGCTGCCCTATAGCAGATATACTGCTACAGGGTGGCAGGGGTGTGCAAAATCATGTATATATATATATATATGTGATTTTGCATTTCCAGGTAGGGGGTGCGTGATCTGCTCGCTCGGCCTACCTGCGCCACCATTCACGGCCACGGCTGACAATCACCAGGTCCCAGGTGGTGATTACCATCCCACACCTGGTGATTACCGAGCATTGCTAATAATAATAATAATAATCTCCAACGGGGAGGAGGACTTTGTTTACAAACAGTTCTCCTCCCTGTCAGCTCAGGCACACTACTCTGTGTTTACAGTGAAGCTCCAACACCCCTAGTTAAACACTCTCTGCACACAGTTAACCCTTCGATCGCCCCTCATGTTAACCCCTTCCTGCCTAGTGCCATTAGTACAGTGTCAGTGCTTTTTTTTTAGCACTGATCACTGTATTGGTGTCACTGGGGATGTCAGTGACACCAAGTCAGTTCTCCCCAGTGTCAGAATGTCCGCTGCAGTCCCGCTATAAGTCGCTGATCGCTGCCATTACTAGTAGAAAAAAAAATTCCAGTATCTATACCGCCATTTGTAAACACTATAACTTTTAGGTAAACCAATTAATTAGCAGAATACACTTTGAATTAAATTTGTGACGAAATTAGATTTTTTAAAGTTTTTTAATGGACATGTTTAATAGCAAAAAGTAAAAAATATTGTTTTTTTTCTCAAATTTGTCGGCCTTTTTTTTTTATTACGCAAAAAATAAAAACCGCACTGGCAATCAAATGCCAACATAAAAAAAGCTCAATTCATGGGGGAAAAAAAGGACGTAAATTTCATTTGGGTGCAGTTTTGCATGACTGCGCAATTGTCAGTTAAAGTAACGAAGCGCCGTGACACAAAAAATGGCCAGGTCAGGAAGGGGGGTATATCCTCAGGAGGGCAAGTGGTTAAAGCCCAATTGCAGCATTTTAAAAAAGGGCCAACCAACAATATGTTTGTGGAGGTCAGCCATATTTTCTTATTACGTTTGCAGTCTCTACTTCCTGTTTTGCAGTTCTCCACAATTTTTTACTGCTTCTTGTCACAAAACAAGTCTTTGAGTTGTCTGAAAACAATATTCGTATGTTGTTGAGGTAAAGATAGAATAATTACACTGAACCACCAAGAGCTTCATCTAGAGGCTAACATCTAAAAATATTTGCATTTAATAGAGTCTTAGAAGAAGGGGGTACATCCAGAAAGCTTGTCCTGAAAGCTTTGCTAACAATGCAAATAAAAAAGTATCACAGTGAGTACTCGTATTGTTGCAAGTGCACTAATATACAGTGAAGGAAATAAGTATTTGATCCCCTGCTGATTTTGAATGTTTGCCCACTCACAAAGAAATGATCAGTCTAAAAATCGAATGGTAGGTGTATTGTAACACTGAGAAACAGAATAGAAACAAAAAATTCAAAAGAAATGCATGTCTAACAAATAATGCACTGATTTGCATGTTCATGAGGGAAATAAGTATTTGATCCCCTATCATTCAGCAGGATTTCTGGCTACCAGGTGTCTTTCATACAGGTAACCATCTTAAATTAGAAGCAGTCTCTTAAAGGGAGTGCTGCTAATCTCATTTTGTTACCTGTATAAAAGACACCTATCCACAGGAGCAACCAAACAACCAGATTCCAAACTCTCCACCATGGCAAAGACCAAAGAGTTGTCCAGGGATGTCAGGGACAAGATTATAGACCTACACAAGGCTAAACTGGGCTACCAAACTAACGCCAAGCAACTTGGTGAGAAGGTGACAACAGTTGGTGCAATAATTCGCAAATGGAAGAAACACAAAACAACTGTCAGTCTCCCTAGGCCTGGTGCACCATTATTATTATTATACAGGATTTATATAGCGCAAACAGTTTGCTCAGCGCTTTACAATATACCATGCAAGATCTCACCTCGTGGAGTGTCAATGATCATGAGAACAGTGAGTAATTATCCCAGAAGTACACGTGAGGATCTTGTCAATGATCTCCAGGCAGCTGGGACCACAGTCACCAAGAAAACAATTGGTAACACACTACGCCAACAAGGATTGAAATCCTGCGGTGCCTGCAAGGTCCCTCTGCTCAAGAAAGCACATGTCCAGGCCCGTCTAAAGTTTGCCACTGAGCATCTGAATGATGCAGAGGAAGACTGGTTGAAAGTGTTGTGGTCAGATGAGACCAAAATCGAGCTCTTTGACATCAACTCAACTCCAAACATGGAGGAGGATGAATAATGTCTATGGCCCCAAGAACACCATCCCAACTGTCAAACATGGTGGTGGAAACATTCTACTTTAGGGGTATTTTTCTGCTAAGGGGACAGGACAACTGTACCTCATCAAAGGGACGATGGACAGGGCAATGTACCATCAAATCTTGGGTGAGAACCTTCTTCCCTCAGCAAGGGCATTGAAAATGGGTCATAGATGGGTGTTCCAGCATGACAATGACCCAAAACACACAGCCAAGGCAACAAAGAGTGGTTCAAGAAGAAGCACATTAAGATCCTGGAGTGGCCTAGCCAGTTTCCAGACCTTAATCTGAATGAAAATCTGTGGAGGGAGCTGAAAGTTTGAGTTGCCAAACATCAGCCACCAAACCTTAATGACTTGGAGAGGATCTGCCAAGAGGAGTGGGCCAAAATCCCTCCTGAGATGTGTGCAAACCTGGTGGTCAACTACAGGAAATGTCTGACCTCTGTGATTGCCAACAAGGGATTTGCTACCAAGTACTAAGTCATGTTTTGTGAAGGCGATCAGATACTTATTTCCCTCATGAACATGCAAATCAGTGCATAATTTGTTAGACATGCATTTCTTTTGAATTTTTTGTTGCTATTCTGTCTCTCAGTGTTACAATACACCTACCATTCGATTTTTAAACTGATCATTTCTTTGTGAGTGGGCAACATTCAAAATCAGAAGGGGGTCTTATTATTTCCTTCACTGTAGATATAATCAGCTAAGGCATATAACACAATACCAAAAATAGGACTTTAAGAATAAAAAATGTAAATTACTACTTGTACAAAGCAAATACTGCAAAAAACTCAAAAATATGTACTCACTGAAAATAGCTTATAGTTCCCTTTCATGCATCTGTAAAATGAAGTTTAAATATAATCTGTTCATTATTTTAAACTTTTAAAAGAATCAGTCCTGCCAAAAGAACAAATAAAAACCTCACCTTTGATCCTAGTTTCACTTTGTTAATGAGACCACTCTCATTTGACATTGGGATGTTGGGTAGGCTAAGCGTAACATGAGTACTGGAATTTAAAGGGTAACTCCACTTTTGTGGGAAAAAATATAGCAAATTAAAAAAAAAAATAATATAATATAGTA